TGTGTGTGTGTGTGTGTGTGTGTGTGACCCTGGACCACAAAACCAGTCATAAGGGTCAATTTTTCGAAATTGATAGGACTGATTTGGAGAGCATCCTTTAATCCTCAGTACTGCTTCAGATGAATGAATGCATGTATTGATAGATGAATCCGTCAATCCTATTGTTGCAACTTAGTTGCTGTGAATTAATGCTATCCCTTTCAAATTTCATTTAATTCCAGGTGTGAACAAGTTTACCAGAAATGTGCACACTGCTTTTCTGATGTTCACTGAAGTTTTCCATGTCTTTTTTCCCGTGTCACTTGAAATGTTTCCATTTTGAATCTTTGTTACCAAAGGCGAAACCGTCTGTTACTGGAAATTAAATGAAATTACTGGTTGATATGTCCCGATCTCAATAAAGTTTACACACGCTTTTGGTCTGTGAATTAGATCTCGCTCGGGACGCGCGCTGTCTGTGGAGGTTTGGCCAGGACAGGTTCCAGAATTAAATCAACATATTTTATGTTCCGTCCATTGCCAATCACTGCTATTTCGAGAGTGAATCCCGCTTAAATATGTGGATGTCATTCCCGAAACTTTGCAGGGTGTATGTAGCCATTAATTGTATGTCATGTTTTATGTCATATTCTTAACATTCCATTAAGTGTATTATTAATATAATAAATAAAGCAATATTTTTTTAAATAAAGCAATAAATGATGGCAAATCGAAGTGATACTTGTAGATTTAAAAATAAAACCGTCAATAGGTGGCGGCAAGTTGTTGTCTTAATAAGCCAGGCGCCGCGTCATTCATTCATTCATTCATTCATTCAGTAACGAAGCAAAATGCTGTAGTTATGAATGGGTTATTAATCACTGACTCTCCAAATCGTTCAAAGCAGCAGATTCATTCACTAACGAAACACTGCTGTATGTTGCTTGGAGACGCACACCAGGTGATAAGGATTTCGTTGGAACTATTATTTAGTTGCAAAATAGAACAAACATGACAATATTGTTTAAAATGTAGGCTACATTTAAAATGTAAAATGTTCACTTTATATTACCTTTTTTGTTGAACTATTGTAAAAATTGTCACATTTGCCATTGTTTGGATATTCAGGGAAATTTGCATTCTTGCTCGTATCTTAAACATGAAAACAATAACTCGCACAGGGTATCGAAGAGAGTTTAAATCGATCTCAATGTAGGCTACAGTGCGTGTCAATATTTGTTCTTCATGCTATTAAGTGAAGATCTACTTTAAGATACGTTGAACAGTAGCACGATTTGCTAAAGAAGCATATTCCGCAGGAATCCTATCACATGCACACTGCTTGTGTGGATGCAGTCAGTTTTGACCGCAAAAGATAAGGTAAGCTGATTGGATATCATGTATTTGACTGGTTACGGTACTCCCATTTTCCTGTTTTTACATTAGAAGCGGCATTTTGCTTGTCAGAAATACATGTTCAGTTTTAATGTTACTTTAAGTTGGGGTAGAATTAAATGAATGCCAAAACTCAGAATTTTGTTTGCGTACAACCTCCGTCACCTCACGTACCCCCAGGGGTACCCCAGTTTGAGAACCACTGCCCTAGAAAGTGCGCAAAGCCTTTATCACTAAAAAGCGTCACTCATCTTCATTCATTGCGATCTTACAAAGTTCCGTTATAATCAATGAAGCTCTCTAAACTGCACAATGAATCTCTATTTACATCGCGTCTGCACTTAGTCATGAGATGATTCACGAGCGTGCAGAACTGCACTTAAAAACTGCAGCACTTTCAGCGGTGAGTGAATTCTTACAAAACGTTTCTGATTGGCCATTGCGTTTAAGAAATCAACAGATATGTCTGTGATTGGTTACATTGCTCAACGCTGCAAAAACACGTAGAGGGTATTTAGCGCTTGGCTAAGCGCTCCAATTGCAGCGGGGACGACATCAGGGTTTCCATGACTAACAAATGTAAACATACATGACTAACATGTATGTATGTATATACATATATATGTATACACACACACACACACAGATAGATAGATACTATGTATTAGCTTCAGAATCACACCTGTGCTTGTATTATTTTTACATTTTACTCAAATTTTTATTTTCTATAAATTTGTCAGCTAGCAATGCCACCTGACAAACTTGACCAGTGTTGAGGGTAACGTATTACAAGTAACGTGAGTTATGTAATCAGATTACTTTTATTCAAGTAACTAGTAAAGTAACGCATTACTTTTAAACTATATCCGAGTTACTTTTTCAGATGAGCAATGGAAGTTACTTTGTGTTTCCCTTTATTGACTGACAGCTCTCCTGTCCCTGTGTTGAGAGAATTTGGGAGTGAGGTGCAGAGGCAGAGGCACTTCTTTCAGCCCAAGGCTCATTCATTTCTCTTTTGGTGTGAAATTGTCTTTACAGTTGCCAAAAATATACCTTTTCTGTTTTTTTGTTATTAAAAATCAAATAAGCAAGGTGACAAAAAGTAACACAAAAATAACATAATGCATTACTTTACATAAAAATTAAAATTAAGTAACACAATTAGTTACTTTTTTATGCAGCAATGCAGTAATGCGTTACTTTTAAGAGTAACTTTTCCCAACACTGAAAGTGACAACCTAGTTATTTTGCTAACAAGTTGCATTGTGGCATATATCGCCACTTTAGCATGCATAGTAATGTATGTTAAAACAATGATTTTATTTTGTAAACCCTGTTTAAATTAGACAGAAATGGATGAGTTAAAGTAAAAATGCAGCATACTGCATTTGAATTTTAAATTTTAATTATGGAAATGAGATACGATATGATATGATAAGCCTGGTTCACATTGCAGGTTTTGACTGAGGTTTGCCCACTAAGACTTTTTTTTTTGTAACAATATGCACCCTGATTCCCTGATTGCGTAAAGCTCGCCAATCAGATTTAGATGTTTTGAAAAAGCTCTCGCCATTTTTGTGACAAACATTAAAAGCGTGGTAACTAATAAGATAAAGTGAAAAATGACTTTTAGAGGAACAAGTAATGTTTTTATATATGTTATATTCATTGTTTAGAAAGCTATGTCAAATCTAAAACGTAAAAAATGTAGAAAAATAGTCAGAAACACAGGGCTGGCCATTCTGACAGATTTATTTGAAGTGTTGAAACATAACAGTCAGTGTAAAAGTGTGAGTTAAGCCCTATTCGCACAGGGTTAGTATTATCTGGGGACCTTATCTGATTTTGAAATTACCCCCCCACATCTGAATTTTGTGTGGTGTATTCGCACAGGATAAGCGAAGCCTGTGATTTTACTGTCTGAAATTTTTTTACTTACTGAAATTTACTTTCTTATCTCCCGGATACCTGGATGTCAAGGCTTTGAGAGTCCCGTTCTATGGTCTGGTTAGATGGCTTTAAAAAAAGAAACTAATATAGATTCATGCCCTGTGTCATTTACATTTCACCAGGTTAAAATAATATCTCAAGATATTATGCTTGATTTATTTGTAACACATTAACCTCGAAACCTTTTCAGCTTTCTGTTTCTGCAAATTGTATAGTTCTAGCAATATGACAGCACCCAAAATATTATCAGAACACTCCAACACAGCTCCATTCTTCGCAAAGATGGATAAAAAGGCGCACAGGAAACAAAAACCTCGAAAAATACCCGCCAAATGCTGGCCAAATCACAGAGATGCCGATTCGCACGGGACTAATATTATCACAGGACCTCTGTGGTCGGCAAAATACGGTAGGTCATTTGCGGGGGAATTTTTACTTTACAAATTACAGACATGGCTGATTCGCACGGGATTAAGATCACAGACAACCTCCGCAATTATTACAAATGACTGGAGGTCACCAGGTAATACTAATCCCGTGTGAATAGGGCTTTAGTCTAGTCAGGTGACATTTATTATATATTGCTTTATTACAAGGCAGATTTTATTTTATTTTTCAGAGTAATGTAACATTAATGAGCTGGAAAATAACTCAATTTAGCAAAGTCCATCAATTATGATACAACTTCAATTTAGCTATAAGCAGTTCTACAAATAGCCATCGTTTCATTCTTCAGCTCAAGTCAGATAATGTTGATTCAGTTCAGTTTAATAATGGCGACAGTGTTGCAAAGTTAGTGTCATTATCAAGCTCAATTTAGTTCAGATTGTGTTCTCATCTGATAGTGTCAGTTAGTATCAGCTGTTGATAATTAAAGTTATTATTTGCTGATGTTAATGAGGAACATTACCTCTGCTGTGTAGAATGACACTTGTTCTTAATCACAAATTTGATCCCAGTGTTTTTACACTTTTATTTGTCCCATACACTCTAAATGCTGGGTTAAAAACAACCCAACTTGGGTTATTTGGCAACCCAGCACTGGGTAAATATTGGACAGAACATATGCTGGGTTATTTTGACCCAGCTGGTTGGGTTAAACATTTTTACGTTAATATAAAAATTATAATATTGCTGGCTTAAAATGGGCTGGAAATTAAAAATCACACACATAATTACTATAGGCGACAGTAATAATCAAAAGATGAATGTATTATTAAGCAAGAACACCAATGGACAAAATAATAAGACAAATAAATAAGACAAATTGAATTTATTCTCTATTTAACTCAGAATATAAATCCGCATACAATTCCTGCTCCAGCAAACAGTCTCCCCGTGTGGCTCGAGTTCCCAGTCAGTCTCTCTCCCTTGCTTCCCGATTACTGGTGGCTTTTATCCGGTCTCTCCACACCAATTACTGAAACGAGACACAGGTGTTTATCATTTGCACTTGACATACTTACGCACCGCTCGTCTCCTGACTCTCTCTCCTGTTGCCCCCCTCGCCACATACACCCACCGCCCGACTCAGGCCGGGGAGCCCTCCGGCCTGCAGCCCCCCCCCACCATTTCTGGAGAGGAAGTCAGCTACAGCCATCTGCACCCCCGGCCTGTGGACCACCTTGAATTTAAAGGGCTGTAATGCCAGATACCAACGGGTGATCCGCCCGGTGGTATCCTTCATATGGTGGAGCCACTGCAGGGGCGCGTGGTCCGAACATAGAGTGAATTCCCATCCCAGGAGATAATAGCGGGGAGTGAGCACGGCCCATCTTATCGCCAAGCATTCCCTTTCTATGGTGCTGTACATCGTCTCTCTCTCTTCGAGAGCTTACGACTGATGTACAGCACCAGTTGTTCTTCACCATCTATCTCCTGGGACAGTACCGCTCCAAGCCCCTTGTCCAACGCGTCAGTCTGCAATAAAAAAGGGAGAGAAAAGTCAGGGGAGTGAAGGAGCGGCCCGCCACACAGAGCAGCCTTTATCTGGGTGAAAGCCTGCTGGCACTGCTCCGTCCACTGGACCGGGTCTGGTGCT